TTACTATTATTATTATTATTTTTGGTAATTATTATTTTAATATAAAATTGAAAAGTCCCCAAAATTAAAGTATGTGGTAACCATATTATATGGAAGTTGTGGGATGCCTAACACCTTCTTTACGCTTAACCAACCCTCCGACCCTAGTCAATTTCTACGTAGACCTTGGTAATCTATCCCACCTCATTTGGATAGATGGTGACTCTATCCATTTTGGCACGTCAACAAGGTGCATTAAGGATTGTTGAGAATTACAGTTTCAATTATTCGTCAAGTTGTATCAAGGCAAATTACAAAAGTACAATCATGTAAGGTAACTGAGTATGATTTTACTCATATTGATATTTTATTTAAGATAAAGTTATTTATTTTCATATGTAGGTTATAGCATATGAATTTTATAAAGAGGTTTTATGGAATTAAAGTTTTGAGTATATCTCATGACATATAACTTAAGGTTAAATCATTGATTTTATAATTGATTTTGTTGGTAATTAATTACTTTCAAGGAATAATTACATGTGTCTATTTTGCATATTGGTGATAGCCTAATTGTGGCACTCCATGAAATTTTTTAAATCTCAAAGAAAATATATTTGATAAAGTTTTAAAAATTTTAGAATTTGTATATCTTGGATTATTTAAGATACTGAAGTAATCTTATATGATTTTCTTTGAGTGTTAAAGTAAGGGAACTATTTAGTATTGAAAGTCTTTTCAAAAGTTTTAGGATTCTCTCAATTCATATATTAAAGAATTGCCATCATTAAAAAGTATAAAAGATGATTGAGAGGGATTATAGAACTATATATCTACATGATAGTCCTAATAATGTTTTATAATGTGAATATCAAGAGTTTATTTATTAGGACTAATAATTTCTGTCACTTAAGATTTTTTGGTATATTAAGAAATTTTGTTCCAGTGAGAGATTGGTTAATCTTCTAATAAGGATTCTGAAATGTTACATTATTTTATGGGTAATTGTTCCAATGGGAGCTTGTGAGTTGATGTGGATGGTACTACCAAAATAGATCATTTATTAAGATTCACATGTTTTTCAATAAGGATTCTGGAATGTTTTATTATTTATAGGTAAATGTTCCAGTGAGAGTATGTGAATTGAAGTGGGTGATATTGTCAAAGTGGGTCATCTATTAAATTCGTATATTTCTCAATAAAGATTTTAGAATGTTTGCTTCTTGAAATTAATATGGATGATCACCTGCTTAAAGGGGGTGATTGTGCATATTGATTGAAAGAAGTGTGAGTAGTTAGTAAGGATTTTTATTCTGATTTTATAGAGAATTTTCTACTCAAAGGGGATTATTTTCTATAAGACTATTCTTATTAATTTACCTGTAATAAAACTTTTGAAGTTTAATAAAATTTCATACTCATTGGTTATATTAGATTATTATGTCATTAAAACTAGTTGATCCATTGGGAAGATCACATATGAACTATTAAAGTTAAGATATAAAGTTGCTACTTTCATATTAGTACATGAAAGATTCTGCCCAAAGGTGATTGTTGTATATATTGACTTGAAGTAATTGGAGCAATTAGTAAGAATGATAAGTATTGATTTATATTTATTAAAAGTTAATTTTTCTGCTAATTGACTTATTAAAGTTTAATTTTATGGACTTATTTAATCAACATAAAGCACAAATAAAGTATAGTTGTGTCTTGAACTCTTGAACTCTTGAACTCTTGTGAGTTAAAGTGAATCATGCTATGGATTAAAGTATATTATGAGGCACTTTTATGGAAACAAAGTTTTATTATTAAAATTATATTACCAATGTTCGACTAGTGTTAATTTATGTATCTCTTAAGTGATTGGTATTTTGATTGCATAAGTTTTGATTAAATTTGGAGATACATGTTTCTTAGCATGATGAATTTGAATTGTACAAAATTACTATTTTGTTGTTCAACTAGAAAAATGGTAAAAGGAATGCATTAGTAATTATGATAAGAGTAATGCAAAATTTAAGATATTGTGAAATGCCTATTATTATTTGAGGAACTAACTTTTTTTTATTATAAGTTATTTAAAAGGGTTATCATAGAATAATGTATTTAGAAAATTAGTGGGAGTTAAACAGTTTATTACTCTCAATCATTCAATGTATAATGATAAGATTATGGATATGAGAAAGTTGGTTGGTTGCAATGAAGAAACCTCTAGACACGTGTTATGAATTATATGAAAAATAATTCTTGTAAAAGATGCAATTACCTCTATTAAAGTTGATAAAGTCTTGTCACTCTTGTATTTTTGTATTTGATTAAAGTGTAAAGATTATGTTATATTTTGTCTAATGGATAATTGAGGATTGTTTCTATTACAATATTTTATATTTGATAGTGTTAATTATCTATATAGATAACTTGTTGAAAGAATTTGATGAAAAAGATATATCCAAGGTAACTGTTGATCTACCTTATAAAGTAAGAGTGACATGAAGGTGAAATTATGAATAATGATCATAGTCATGCATTATTGTGACTATGTTAAGTAATTTATTGATCAAGGGATTATAATTTTGTTAATTATCTATGAGAATTATTTTAGATATTCTTAATAAGTGGAAGAAGTTGATTTCTCTATTAATAATAAGTTTTATTTTACTCATTGTCTCACTTATTATTTTATAATAATGCATGTGCATTATACTAACGATTTTTATGAGCTCATGCAAATGTTGATCTTGAGATTTTGAGATATAAAGTATAAAGGCTTCTTTGAAAGTATATAGACTTCTTTAGAAAAGTGAGGGAGATTATCTTCAGGGTTTCTATGAAACCATAATAAAGTTTAAAGGCTTCCTTGAGGAAGTGTAAAAAGGATTACATCCTGATTAAAGGGTTTCTTTAAAACTGTTGTACCTCTAATTTTGATGATTACAAAACACATTTGAGTGACTAATTGGTTCATTTAAGTGACTAATTGGTTCATTTAAGTGTGTAGTTAAAATGTCAAAAGATTGCAAAGTAAGTGAACTTGGACTGCACTAAAAATGGACCAAAAGGCTTGAAAATGTGTAGAGAGCCAGTTGTTGAAACTTGTAGTTGGTTGTGGAAGTGTAGAGAGTCAGCTCTGGAAGCTACAGCCGGCTCTATGGGTAAAAACTTAAAAGTTGTTTGGCACGCGCGGAGAAAAGATGCAAAGCCGGCTCCAACTCTGCAGCTGGCTGTGAGAGTGCATTTAATGTACAACGGTCGAGTTATTTGAAGATTATTTAATGTGTTTAAAGTTGAAATCCCAAAGCCAACTTTATGATTTGCAACCGGTTGTGTAAGAAAACAGAATGTGCAGGAAAGCTGCAAAGCCGGCTACAGAATTTTTAAGCTTGCTCTACGGAGAAAACAGAATGTAGGAAACCCGTAGAGTCGGCTTCAGAAATGGTAAGCGGCTGTACAGAGCCGGTTCTAGGAAGTTAAGCCGGCTGTACTGATAGTTCTGCAACTCGAACCATGCGTCCTGCAGAGCATTAAATGACCCCCAACAGCTAGTAACGGCTATTTTCAACCATGGGATTATAAATATGGTTGGTAGAAGATCTGGAGCAAGTTTAGGGAGCATTGCATTTAATATCTTTACCTACCTACATGAGCTTTAACTTGAGTTTTTGATCTTTGAGAGATCTTTACTTGTAATCCTCTTCTTGTTCAATTTGTGAGTGATCTTGGGGGTGTGATTAATCCTTCAAGAGTGATCTATAAAGAGGATTCTTGGGGTTTATCTTGTAAAGAGGTGAAGTTTAAGAGAAACACCCTTCTTCTTGTAAAAGGATTGAGTGGTTTCTTTAAACCACTCTTGATTTTGTTAGTGGAGAGTGTGGAGGAAATCCTTGGTGAATGAAGCCAAGGTAGAGGACTAAGTTCCAAGTGGTTGGACCAAACCTCTATAAAATCATTGTGCAAGCTCTTCTTCCCTACTCTCTCTTTGATTTTTGTTTGGTGGTTGCAAAGAGGTGAAAAATTTTCAACTCCAATTCACCCCCTCTCTTGGAGTACATCGAGTCAACAGAAACCATAAAGATGATTGTTGTGGTTTTGACATGTTATATATTGTATGGATCATGTGCTATCAAACCACACTACACTTTATCACACCTATTGAAATTAATGTTGGTGGAGATATTTAATACTTGTGATTGTTAGAGGTCTTGTGTTATTAGAGACATAATGACCGCACAGTTCGATATTGGTATTTTCATTGAACGAAATTCTATACTGAGATTTTTATTTATATTTGTGGCTACTAAAGTTGTATTTGATTCAAAAGTCATTTTAAAAAAATATTTTTTAAATTTAAAGCCAATTAGCGTTACTCAAATGGGAGAATGTTGGAAACTTTTAGGTGGGCTGTCGCTAATTGTATTTGGTTTTTAAAATTGGGTCAAATGAAAAAATCGATAAAACCCAACAAAGTAATGTGATTCAAGTGGGTTTAGGTTTTATCTCAGTTTATACAGTGTGATATAAATAGGTGTAGAGCCTGGAATTAAATGTGGGTTACTTGATGGAGGTGCCCAAAATATTATCATAATGGATTAGGTTCCTTCTCCCAATTAGAAAACTCTATCTCTATAAATAGGAGAGTTAGGGAGTGGTATGACTCATTGGTTGTCACTATACAAAAGTTGATTAAGGAGAAAAAGATCTAAATCCCAATACTACCTATATTTGTTTTGTGGATTTTATCATAAGATCTCTAATTATGATGATTCTTGAAAATTCTTGAAAATTCTTAAATAATATATTGATTAAAGAAATTTAGATACGTAATATATTTATTTTATTAGATTTTGGTATCCTAAATTCTACTTATATCGATCCTCAAAATTTCAACATGTCATGCTAATGCTAGGTTGATTCGCACCATCTGCCAGCAGACATTTTTCTGTCGTCAGCAGACATTTCTCTGTGTCTCCGCAAATATCCTCAGTGAGTTGGGATTGATCTGATCCTTTACTGATGGATTCACGATCGTCTCAAGCACCCCTTTTCGGTGGCAGAGAAGTCCCCACTCCGCTAAGTTCACCTATTTCATTGGAAGCTGGGGATCTCCACTAATAATAGCCGGTCTTGCACATAGCACTTCAAGAAGCACGACGCCGAAGGAGTAAACATCGGATTTCTCAGTTAATTGTTGTGTCTGAAAGTATTCAGGATTGAGGTAACCAAATGCGGCTTTGATCCACGTGCTTACAGAGGTTTGATCCATTAAAGCTGACTTGGAGGGCTCGAAACCTGCAACTTTGGCGATGAGGTTTTCATTGAGCAGGATGTTTGTTGACTTGATATCACGATGGATGATTCTACCGGAACAGTCTTTGTGGAGGTAATGAAGGCCTCTAGCTGCATCGATGTAGATTTGAAGTCTTTGTTTCCAGGGCATGTTTGTTTAGTAAAGATAATCCCGCAATGTCCCATTTTTCATTAATTCATATACCAGTATCATCTCAGACCTTTTATCACAGTATCCTATCAGGGAAACAAGATGGTGGTGGCGGATTTTGGATAGGATCATGATTTTCGTATGAAATTCCGATAACCTTCGGCTAAACCTTGGTTGACCTCGTTTTGCTGCAACTTTCGAGCCGTTTTTGAGTTTTCCTATGTAAACATTTCCGAATCCACCCTTTCTGATCAGCAGCTTCTCATGAAAATTGTTTGTAGTGGACTGAGTTTTGGCGAAGGGAATTCTCAGGCCAAGGTTCAAATTTGGGACCTGGAAGACATTGATGGTTCTCTCGGTCCCCTTGTTATCGGAACTTCTGCCACCGTGTCCACTGAACAGCAACCAAACTGAAGTTTCAACCGATGATCTCTTGCTTTTCTTCAAAACAATCAACAACCCAACTGCCGAGACGCAAACAAGTAGACCCCCAACAACAGGACCGACCACAAGGACGACAGTTTTCTATATATAGATATACATATCTGCCCATATTCTTAAAAGATTGGAATCTTAATTTTAAAAACACTACCATCGAATGAATAGTTTCAAAAATTAAGAATTAAATTTAGTTTTCTATTCATATAAATTATATATTAACTTTTAAATTGATTAAATATATATAATTAATTTATTAAATATATATAATTAATTTATTAATTATAGAAAATTTGTCACAATTAAATTAATATTATATTAAAAATACACATTCTTTAATTGAATTATTATACATGTTAAATCAATTTAAAAATTAACATACATAATTAATATCAATATAATATTAAATTTAACAGTTAGTTTTTAAAAATATTTATTGAATAATAGTATTTTTGAAGTTGAAACTTTAATTTTTTTTAAATCAAGACTAATATACACTTTTTTTATATATAGATCCACTTACACACTTATAATATAAGTAAAAATTCATTTATATATTAATTTTACTTATCACACATACATAAATGGTTAAAATTTATTCACAAATATATATATATATACACATGCAGACACACGCACCCACGAGGAAAATGGCATATAAGTCCTAATTCTTAAAAAAAATTAAAATCCAAATGTCGCTTCATTTAGCACCTTATTTAATGTTAACGCATGAATTTGGAAAGTAATTACATATTCTAATATAATAGGTTTCTCAATTCACCTTATTAAATATTGACACATGATTTTTAGTTTCTAAATGTAAGAATCAACATTTAATAAGATAAATTTCTTAATTTTTAATTTTAATTAAATAAAACATGAATTTTTGAATTTTGAATTATCTTTTAATGAAATGAAACGATATCAATTAAATTGAGACTCTAAACTTTTTAAGAATTAAAATTGATATACACTATTCTCTAGATATATTTGAAAAAAATATTTATTAACTATCTGTCAAAAAAATTCTTAAATTAAGTCATTTTAATAAATTTTTATTGAACATATTAGAATATTTTAATTTTAATTTTTAAAATATTTTAATATTTAAAATAAAAATAAAAATATTTTAATTTTATATAATATTTTATTAAAATAACATCATTTAAAATAAATGTTCACCTAATTTTTTAAAATTTAAATATTAAAATATTTTATTTTTATATAATATTTTATTAAAATAACATCATTTTAAATAAATTTTCACCTAATTTTTTAAAATCTAAATGATAAACATTAATATATTGTGTGTGTATATACACATGCACACTGATAATTCATAAAGTAGCCACTAAAAGCAAAACACCGAGTGGCCTCTCCATTGTGAGAGATTTGATTGCACCCAGGTCTTCAGTTCAAACCCAAGCTATCAAAACTACTTCCCTTAAATTACCATAGCTCAAAAAAAAAAAAAAGGGTGGTAAAACAGAGAGTAGGCACCATAGTCCGAAAGGCACCCCAGAAGACCACCAGAGCAAGGAGCTGTAATGAACGGGGGTTTTTTCAAAGTTAAATTACTCAGGGAATTGAATGAAAAATATAAACTTTAGTAGTTTATCTGTCAAATCATATACGATTAAAAAGAAAATATGACTAAATTTAGAATTTCTGTAACTGAATTTGCTAGGAAAGGGCCCCATCCCTGCTTCTTTTTAGGTTTTATTTTGATTGTATTTTTAGAAGATAGGTTAAATTTTATTAATTAATTTAATTTATTTACATAAATTTTTATATTATATTCATTATATTTTTTTTTTATAGATTTTAAGTATAAATATTATATTTTATTTAAATTTTAAATATAATTTTATACAAAATTAATTATAAATACCATAATTAATAATTTTTAACATGTGTTCTACGGATGAAATGACAGCACTACAATTATTGACAAAGGAGGTTTAATCCTTACCTGATTAATGGAGGTTTAATTTTTTTATGAATTTTTTCATTTTAATATAAGACCCATACCTATTTGACAACTTTCTTTTAACCTTTTATGTCAATTTCTTACGGCATATAAAAAATTTAATAATTCAATAAAATTTTAATACAAAATTTAATAACTTTATATAAAGACTTGATAAAATTGACTTCCAAGTTCCAACCAATTAGCCCTTAACAGCATGTTTGGAGTGCAGGATGAGATTGGACTGGATATAATTAATAGGATGAGATTGGATTACATTGGTTTGGATAAGATAATAAAATCTAATCTCATGGTTGGTGTTTCTTTAGACTAGATATAAAATTTATTTTATACTTAATTAGGCAATAGGTAAGATCATATGAGATTATATATATTCTTAATTTATATATAAACAAAAATATCCATAGTTCAAAATATTTAGAAAAATTTAAAGTCACTAAAATTTGTCAATATAAAAATTATTTAAAAATTTTCAGCAATTATTAAAATTTATATATACATAAAACAAAATATCTACATAAATCAAAAAAATCTGTAAACCTAAAAAAAATGTTAATTTATCAAAAAAAATTATTAAAAATGTCCACTAAAAAATTTTATTTATATAATATAAAAAGAACAATTCAAAATTAAATTTATCTAAATAATTTATTAAAAATTATTATATTTAAATTTTGAAAAACAAAATTAAAAAAAATACATATAATAAGATGCTGGGAGATCCAGCCACGAGAGAGAGAAAGGAGGGCAAGCGTGAGATTTTGCGTAAAGCCCATAAAAATGAAATCCCATCCCACGTAATCATATGGGGGAGGTAGGATAACTTTTAATGTAGTTGGTTGAGATGGGACAAAGGGTGGGTTATAATTTGTCCAATCCTTATACAGCACCCAACATGGGTTACAGTAGTTTAGGACTAATTTTTATCTAATCCTGAGTTATGTCAGGGCGGCCAAACGTGCGGTAAAAGGGGTTGCAAATTGGAAATTAGAAAGTAGCCAGCCTAGTTGATGGTGCCATGGTGGACTAAACTAAAACGTTTCAGCTAACGGGCTTAAAACCATTATATATTACTTTGGATCGTCTGATGTCGTCCAAGTATTCTGGGCCTGAAAAACAATTGGGCTATAACTCAATCAAGGCACCGACAAAACCACCCCAAAGAGCAACGTAGATTTGCGGACCCAAATCCAATCCGGCACCGCTTGTTGTATGTGAAAACGCGAAGAATCGCTGGTTTTTAAAATTTGAAATACAATAGATTTGCAGATCCAAATCCAATCCAGCACAGCTGGTTGCATGCTCGACAAGCTACGATCTCCCCAATCTCAGTTTCCTGTACGCATTCTCTAACTCGGTTCTCTTAAAATCGTTTTTAATGTTTGAAATTATGGGTTTCTTTTTCTTTCTATCATCTTTAATTTGTGGTATTTTCTTGGGTGAAAATTTCAGTTGAGGGAGAATAGGATGTGCCACATTCCACATGAATTTGTGGAAACAGAATGCTAAAGGGAGCTGGATTCCACAGACAAACAGTATATAATTATATCCATAATCTTTCATTTTCTGAAATATTGATGATTCGTTTAGGATTGATGGAGTTTCGTGGCGTTTATCGTTGATTGATACCAAACTGGAAATGGGTTTTTAAGGATGAAGGCGTAGGGAATGGAAAATAGAATCATCAGACCAGGTTTGAGAAGCAACCCTACAACAAATGACTGGATTCCCAAGCAATTTTACATTTTAGATTGTGATCGACTGATCCTAATACACAATCGACTAATCCTAATACAAAGTGCAGTCTCATATTTAAAGACTAGTTTGAAAGAGAATTAAAGGCCTTATCGTGCATTGTTGATTCTCAGTTGTGAAAAAACTTCACTGGCCGATGGCAAAGACTCATCTGTGATGCTCTCCCCCAGAATGAGCAACTCGTCTCTCTCAATTTGCAAGCTATGTGAAGGGAGTCGCTGGACGTTGATCATTTGTAAATCGGAGGTAGCCTCAATAGTGCTGTCCTCGTGGGGCTCTCTGTACAATCCAGTTTGCTGGAGCTGTAAAGCATACTCCAAGTCCCACAGCACGTCGCCCATGCTTGGTCGATCCACACTATCTTCCTGCAGACATTTCTCCGCCGTCTCTGCAAATTTCCTCAGTGAGTTGAGATTGATCTCACCCTTTATTGATGGATCCACGATCGTGTCAAGCAACCCTTTTCGGTGGCAGAGAAGTCCCCATTCTGCTAAGTTCACCTGTTCCATTGGAAGCTGGGGATCTCTACTAATAATAACCGGTCTTGCACATAGCACCTCAAGAAGCACAACGCCGAAGGAGTAAACATCGGATTTCTCAGTTAATTGTTGTGTCTGGAAGTATTCAGGATCCAGGTAACCAAATGTGCCTTTGATCCCTGTGTTTACATGGGTTTCGTTCAACGGAGCTGACTTGGAGAGCCCGAAATCTGCAACTTTGGCGTTGAAGTTTTCATCAAGCAGAATGTTTGTCGTCTTGATATCACGGTGGATGATACCTCCGGTAGAACCTTTGTGGAGGTAATTAAGGCCACTGGCTGCACCGATGCAGATTTCAAGCCTCTGTTTCCAGGACAAAAACGGCAGGTCTGTGTTGTAAAGATGATCCCGCAGTGTCCCCTTTTCCATGAATTCATAAACCAGTATCATCTCAAACCTTTCATCACAGTATCCAATCAGGGAAACAAGATGGCGGTGGCGGATTTTCGATAGGATCATGATTTCCGTTAGAAATTCATCAAACCCTTGGCCGGACCCTGGTTGACTCCGTTTCACGGCAACTGTCAAGCCGTTTTTGAGTATTCCTCTGTAAACATTTCCGAATCCACCCCTTCCGATCACCAGCTTCTCATCAAAATTCTTTGTAGCGGACTGAATTTCGGTAAAGGGAATTATTAGGCTAAGGTTCAAATTTGGGACCTGGGAGACATTGATGGTTCTATAGGTCCCCTTGCTATCTGAACTTCCGCCGCCGTGTCCACTGAACAATGACCAAACTGAAGTTTTAACGGATGTTCTCTTCCTCTTCTTCAAAACAATAAACAATCCAACTGCCAAGACACAAACAAGTAGACCCCCAACAACAGGACCGACCACAGGGAAGACAGTTTTCGTACTTTTATCTGGCTTGATAACTACACTTGATTCCCCCATGATCTCCATTATCTCCACTCCATTCAAAAATGCAGTATAAGTGTCCAGCGAATCTTTGGAGGGACCAATGCTGATATTCATAGCCCCCGATTCATCTGAATCAACTACAAAATCCAGGCAAAATGGCACCCCCAACTCGCCTACTATCTCATGGGGATCAATTTTCCGAGAGTAGTTGCCATTTAGGTACAAATTGAATATAATGCTACCCACTGATTTGCCAACAATGTTGCAGAAATGAACCCGAACAAAATGCCTAGAATTCTTAGACACATTGAAGGACCATGTCACATTGGATGTGTCTGGGTAATTACTACCATTTGTGTTCATCTCTATGGCAGTTTTGTACACCGGAGCAGGTGCAATATACACAGTAACATTTCCTTTTTCATAGTTAGGCCTAGCCGAAGACGGTGTGCTCTTCTTTGCCATGCTCGAATTATATAAAAATTTGTCATCAGGTATCCATGTCCTCCATAAGGTATCATTATCTGGTGTTACTTTTTCTCCCCCAACATTGATTCTGTAAATTGTCTGTAAAGCGTGGGAGAGGATACCACTGTAACTTTTATTAGGTGGAGTTGGAACCTTGTCAGGGATGAAATTTGCCGGGGCAAGGAAGACTTCTAAGGCGTTTATGAAGGCGAAAGAGGATCCATGAGGGGTAAAGTAGATTGAAAATTTTCCTTGAGTGATGTTTAGGAGGAATTCATCTATGAGGGGAGAATTGCTATCGTTGGTACTGCTTCTTGGAACGGTGAAATTTTTCAACTGGGAAAATCGAGCGGTCGAAACATAAAAAACAGCTGTGGAGACATCAGTTGAATTGAAGAAATGAAAACGTACCAGATAAATCCCAGCAGTGTCGATGTCAAACTCGTAGAAAGACTGCTGCTTGAAAACTCTTGCTGTTTGGTACAGAACATCTGATATCTGGCTGTTGGTTATGACTTTGCTTTTCTGTTTGGTAAAAGACAAGGGACCTGGGTAGATCAAATCCCCGATAAAGGTCCGGTTCGGGTAGCCGCTGACGTTTGTGTTTGTATCTGAGCCACAGTTGATGAAGAAGTGATCTGGGGGAGTGTAAGCTGCAGGGGAAAGCAGGATTGAGAAGAACAAGAGGAGAAAAAGAAGAAGCTTTTCCATTTGCATGGTGTGATTTTTGCTGAGTTTTTCGGTTTGGAGAAAATGAGGAAAGCAGAGCACGACTGAAGGTGGGGAAAGATGAAGTCGTTGAAGGTGAGTCAATGTGGAGTCAATGATTGAAAAATCAACTTAAGGCAACTTGATATTTTGTGGCAACATTCGGCGAAAGCCCCTGCAATAATACACTGATAATTAAGGCAACTTGAATTTTTTTTTTTTTTTTTTTTTTTTGAGAAAAGTATTGATTTTTGTGTTTGGAAAAGCATTTGTTGATAATTCATAAAGTAGCCACCAAAGCCAACCACCTAGTGGCCTATCTGCCACGCTCCTTTGTAAGAGGCGTGACTAAATGGGGGGTTTTTTGATAATAAAATTACTCAGGGAATTGAATGAAAAAAAATGTAAACTTCACTGTAGTTACTTTCGTTGATTTTTCAAATAGAGTGGGACTCGGAAAGGGCCCCATCCCTTTTCCTTTTTGTTACTTTCTTTGTTAAAAAGATAAAAATGACTGCACTACCAAAAAAATAATGAACCTTGCGATATTGACGGAAGAGGTGTGTTCCTCGCCGGATAAATTAAGGTTTAATTTTTAGGCGAGGTCAATTAAATTGTAATTTTTTAATGAATTTTTTAATTTTAATATAATAATAGACTTTTGATTGAATATAGGGAAATTACAAATTAGTCTTAAAAGTATTAAAGTTGGCATGAAAACACTATAATCAAGAAATAAACAAAAACACAAATTATGAATTTTTAAGGTTTGGTTGGAGGAAAATTGTTTTTCTAACTTTTCTTTTACAAGGCTATTTATATATTTTTTATA